CTCATATGGATGCGAAAGCTGGACAGTGAATAAGTAAGATGGTAGAAGAATTGATGCCTTTGAGTTGTGGTGTTGGAGGAGAATACTGAAAGTTCCATGGGCTGCCAAAAGAACCAATAGATCCGTTTTGGAAGAAGCGCAGCCAGAGTGCTCCTTAGAGGCCAAGATGGCCAACTTGGTGTCTCTTACTTTGGGCATATTGTCAGGAGGGACCAGACACTGAAGAATGATATCATGTTTTGTGAGGTGTAGGGTCAGAGGAAAAGAGGAAGACCCCCAACGAGGTGGACTGGCCAAGTGGCAGCATCGATGGACTCCAGTGTGGCAACAATAGTGAGGTTGGCCCAGGATCGGGCAGTGTTTCATTTTGCTGTGCATACGGTCGCTATGGGTCAGTACCAACGCGATGGCACCTAACAACACCCCCTGCAATCGAGTCCTGGTGTGGCGCTGTGGGATAATTCACGGGACCACAAGGTTGGTTTGAACTACAAGGTCAGTGGTTCAAATTCACCAGTCGTTCCTCAAAAACCCGATCCAGAGGGGCAATGAGTTGGAACCGAATCGACAACACTTAATAACAACAACACTCCTGCTGTACAGCGTGGCTATGAGTCAGAACCGATTAGACCACACTTAACAACAACAACAACAACAGAACAAAAAACATTACTTAGATGGAGATTTCCCAGAGGACAAACTGACATGGAAAAGGTTGACCCTGAAGGTACAAAATGTGTGAGAGCACCCTGGGGAGATGCACTCATCTAACCCTCTTGGTAGAATCTACTCATATTGGTAGAAAGTCCAGTGGCGAGCGATCCCAGGGCTGCATACATAGAAAATGCTCAATGAAACGCGAACTGAATTGAACTTCTGTGAAGTCAGGTGTAAGATTGGGCTGGACTGTCACGGAAGTTTTGTGAAGGACGCGTGATCTCTCCACGTGAACAGTAAACAGCAGGGAGAACGTGGAAGGGACAGGGAGCTGTGCTTCCAATGGGGAACGTGCATCTGAGATATGCCAACAGGACTGGGTGTGGTGAGACAGAGAGACCCGGGAGCTGGTGTGTATCGGAGGGATGAGGGCTGACGTAGTAGGGTGGGCTGCACCGTGCTAGCCTCCTCTCCAGCTCCCCACAGGCAGGGAAGCCGTTCTGGCATCCCAGGACCCTGGTGTGTGGTCTGCAGTCTGACTGTTAACGGGAGGAGGGGTGTTCCCTGAGGGAGCAGCCCAGGTACATAAGTTGGAGTGTCTGGTCCAGAGCCAAGTGCCAGCAACCCGCTCCTGTCCCCAAGCAAATCCCCACACCACCTCCCAGCGAGAAGGCCAAAGAGCCCCTCTGCTTTGTTGTGTGTTGGGGGGTCTCTGGCTTCGGGGGCAGTGTGAGCAGTGTGGGGTGGGGGACCACTCGGATGGGCAGCAGCAATGCCACACAACAGTGGTCTTGGCAGAGTCTGGGGTCTTGGTGGAGTAGGGGCACTCAGCAGAATGGAGGGTCTCAGTGCGGTAGGGGGTCTTGGTGGGGTTGGGGGTCTCCGTGGAATTGGGGGTCTGTCTGGGGTCAGGGTTCTCGGCGGGGTCAGGGGTCAACTGGCCTTAATGGCGTCTTCATCCAAGGACCGGCACTGCACGGCCTCCATCAGCTCCGTCACGGTGCCGTCCTCATCCACCGCCACCACCTTCACCGGCACGGCCACAGTTTTCCCCGTGAGCACGGCTGTATTCAGGATCTCTGCCTCCTGGAAGAGGGAGCACAGCCCCGTCACACCCTGCGGAGCAGCCACAGACACACAGAGACACAGACACACAGATACACAGACTTACATGTACACACACAGAGCAGACATACAAACATACTTACAGACACACACACAGTCACACATTCACACAGCTACACACACACAGATACACAGAGACACAGATACACAGATACACAGACTTACATGTACACACACAGCGGAGACATACTAACCTACTTACAGACACACACAGTCACACATTCACACAGATACACACACTTACACATACACACAGACATAGAACATACATACTAACATACTTACAGACACAGAGATACACAAACACAAACAGAGACACACAGAGACACACACTTACATGTACACAGAAACAGTACATACTAACATACTTATAGACACACACAGACACAGAGATACACATACACAAACATAGACACATAGACATGCACATACAAACACACAGACATTCACACAGACCCAGAGACACGCACACATACAGACACACAGACACAGAACGCAGACACAGAGACACATGTGCATACACTCTCACACACACAGACAATGGCAGCAGTGACTGGAACCATCTGAATGGTGGGGACCCGGCAGCTACACTGCCTGTTCAGAGGGCTCTGAGCCATGTAGCCTGAAAGCTGTACTGCTATCCTAACCCCTGTTTGGAAGGTGGTGAATGTGACCTGCTGGGAAATTGTCTTCCTTTGCAGATGATACCCCTCTTGTGTGATGTCTTCTAAAAGAGGAAAGCAGACATAGAGACAGAGGGACAGACAGACGCCACCTGAAAATGAACTTGAAAGCCAGGATATGCCCAATACCATCTTCGCAGCCCAGCTCATGAGAGTCTTGGGTGGATTCCAACCGTGTCCCTCTGAGGACACATGTCGTCCCAGCAGTGTCCGAGTAGAACTGTGCTCCTCAGGCTTCTCAGTGGCTGAGTTTTTGGAAAGAGATCACCAGGTCTTTCTTACAAGGAGCCCTGAAAGGACTTGACCCTCCAATCTTTTGGTTAGCAGCTAAGTTTCTTACCTTTGTACACCAGGGCCTCCACTGTGTTCTAAGAGGGGCTTGACCTCACACTACCTTGAACTTCTCCTTTGTGTTTACACCGGCCTGGCCCATCCTAGAGAGAAAACTCGGGGTGCCTGGGTTAGGATGTCCTTACCTAACGTTTAGAGCCCGGATTGCAAAGATCCTTGTTGATTCGAGTTTCGTGTGGAATCTGAAATGCCTACTAGCAGTATGCAAGCAGAAGGCGCAGACGTTTTTCATATGAAAATGACATCACCCTTTTCCTTTGGTAACTTGTCATTGTTTTAAATCTCGTTTTCTCTTTTATAAGATGAGGCTCATTTTCTAAACTAACTCATAATGGTTTAACTTTTAGATAAGATACCTTTAAAGTTGTTCCGCACTGCCCCCCCCCTCCAACTTTTTAGTATTTTAATCCTAAAAGACAAAACTGCAGTTAGGAATATTCTTGAATTTCTAAAACCATAACGTCATTGTCTAAGCCCTGGTGGTGCAGTGGTTAAGCACTCTGCTAACCTAAAAGGTCATTGGTTCAAACCTACCCTTTCTCTCTGTGGGAGAAGAATGTGTCAGTCAGCCTCCAGAAAGATTTACAGCCTTGTACACCCCCCCTCTGGAAGGAGCTCTGGTAGCGTAGTGGTTATCAATCGGGCTGCGAACCACAAGGTCAGCAGTTCGAAACTACCAGCTGCTCCTGGTAGATGAGGCTTTCTGCTCCTGTAAAGATATATAGACTCGGAAACCCTGTTCAGGGTCACTATGGGTCGGAACCAACACCATGGCACATAACAACGCCCCCCCTCCCCCCCCAGCAGTTCTACCCTGTTCTACAGAGGTGGAATGGACTCGATCACTGTGAGTGTGGTTTGGTTTATAGATGAGACTTAAGAAGCAAGCCCTGGTGGCACAGTGATTAAGCACCCCACCATTAACCAAAACGTCAGTGGTTTGAACCCACTGCAGATGGGGCTGTCTGCTCCCGTAAAGGTCTACAGCACTGGGAACCGTCCTACTCGACGCTGCAGGCTCAGTGGGAGTCACGAGTGTGTTCATTCTTTCACCATGTGGTGTTCACTTTTCACTCACTTTTCACTCATTCTCTTCTGTGGGCTCTCACAAACATCTGATTTTATTTTGGGTGAAAACAGTACGAAAGCGAAGGGTCCTGAGCAGTGTGGACGTTACTACCTGTACCTCTGGGCCGACAGTGTCCAGGATGACGTTTCTATGGGAGAGGGTTTGATGAGAAGGACCTACAGGCATGGTGTGTTTTATCAGGCTTTGTGTTATCGCAGTTTGCAGACGCTGCACTTTGTACACATGGAAGGTTTGCAGCAACCCTGCATGGAGTCCGCCTATCAGTACAGTTTGTCCAGCAGCATGTGCTCCTTGGTGTCCCCACGTTGGTCACTGTCATGGTATTCCAGGCTTGCTCCACTTCATAGATGGCAGGAAAGTGTCAGAATCGCGTTTCTGTGCTCTGGGAAACCAGATGCATCCTGTGAGTTTGCTCGTTTCTGGGGATCTGGGCCCCGTTTGGGACATCTCTGAGGTCGCACTCCATAGGGGTGGTGGTGGTCCTGGGGTAAATGCTCTCCTTCCATGTGGGAGACCCAGGTTCCATTCCCGGCCAGTGCACTGCATGTGTACCCCCCACGCGTGGTAGGTGGAGGCTGCATACGGCTGTGATATGGCGCAGGTTTCAGAGGAGCTTCCCGGTTGAGGCGGATTAAGAAGAAGGTTCTGGGACACAAACCAGCCAATGAAACCCTTATGGACCACAACACTCCTTCCCTAATCATTCTTGAGGATCGTGCAGGGATGGACTTCGATTCCATGGTACGTGGTTCCTAGGGGACACTCAGCACCGAGATTGATAGCACCCCCTACAGGACACATGAGAACTACCCCACAGGGTTTCCCAGGCTGTTACCTTTATGGAGGAGTCTGGTGTGGTGTTGTAGGATCAGCACTAGACTGTGAACTGTAAGGTTGGTGCTTCAAACCCACCAGCTGCTCCTCAGTCACTATGAGTCAGAACCTGACTCAACACCACTTAACACCAACAGCAACAATGTCTACAGAAACAGAGTGCCTCATCTCTCTCCCATGGAGTGGCTGGTGGCTCTGAACCTCCCATGCTGCACTTAGCAGACCAGTGCTTAACCAGTGTGCCACCAGGGGCCTCATACTTTGTAAAGGGGCAGATTCATGCTTATGAGGAATAAAAGGAACAGACTGGAACTGGTGTTCTCACTTTGCCCCAATTCTAGGGACATGTCAGCCCCAACAAGACAAACCCAAAGACTCTGGGCATGTGCACATCTGGGTCCCCACAGATGAGAATGTGTACTATTGCCAAGCAGGATCCTGTGGGGGCCCAGCAGCTGAGCTCTCACTCGTGAAGCCTTCCATCGTGCACCCCCTGCTTTCCAGCGGCAGGCCCCTTCTCCCTCTCCTCCTCTGCTTTTCCAGCAGGGATGGCTGCAGCTGCCTTTCTGCCCTGGAGCTAGCTCGGCACAGCCCCTCAGAGCCCAGGCAGTGATGGCGGACCCATGCTCTCATAAGGAAGCTCTGTGTCAGCTCCTTCCATGAACCACGGTCCAGCTGCACACATGGCTTCCACTTCCTGGATGTTCTGTGCCCCTCAGATGGCCGTTCCTGACTGCCTGAGCCCTATAGAAATCACACAGGTGGGCAGCTCCAACACAGAGACATTTATTGTCTCACAGCTTTGTTGTTGGGAGGAGCCTTCAAGTGGATTCTGACTGACAGTGACCCCACGGACCACAGAAGGAAACATGGTCCGCTCCTGCGTCCACCTCACAACTGTCATGTTTGAGCCCAGTGCTGCGGCCACTGCGTCAGTCCATCTTGTTGGGGGCTCCTCTTTTTCACTGATCCTCCACTTTACCAAGCATGATGTCCTTCTCCAGAGACTGGATTTCCAAAGGGACTGTGGTAAGGTGAGAGGCAGTGTATGTATGTGCTTGGTAAGTCCCGTGGGGTTGGTTCCAATGCACAGCCACCCTCTATAGGGTTTCTGAGGTATCAGTATTTGCGGGAGCAGAAAGCCTCATCTTTCTCCCGTGGAGTGGCTAGTAGGCCACCGCCGATCTTTCATAGTGGCAGCAAGGGGCTCAGACATGACAAGTGGGTGTTGGAGGGCGGAGGACCGGGCCGTGCTCCGTTCTGTTGTATGCAGAATCACTATGACTCGGGACCGACTCGACAACACCTCATAATAACAAACGCAACCCTCACAGACTCCGCGCTACCTCTCAGGGCGGCTGAGTAGAGCAAACGTTTGCAATTACCTGGAGAAGGTGAGATTACCCAGTGGGAATGACTGACAAGAAGGTTGTGTTTCAGGCAGCTAGCTACCAGTGACACACATCCACACAACAGGCTCTGGCATTTCCCCCTGATGTTGAAGTAAAAAAAGCACATTTTGTTAAACCAATGAGATGGGCCGGCACAGTGGTTTAGTACATTCTGCTAAACCAATGAGATGGGCCGGCACAGTGGTTTAGTACATTCTGCTAAACCAATGAGATGGGCCGGCACAGTGGTTTAGGACATTCTGCTAAACCAATGAGATGGGCCGGCACAGTGGTTTAGAACATTCTGCTAAACCAATGAGATGGGCTGGCACAGTGGCAGCAGCATTGAACCCAAGCCCAACAACACTTGTGAAGATGGCACAGGACTAGACAGAGTGTCTCTCTATTGTACACAGTAAGGTCGTGATGAGTTGGAACCGGCCCTACAGCACCTAACAACAATAACAACGAAACCTACTAATTCTAGTCAATTAAAAAGGTGGAATATTGGCATTGTTTTCCCTTCTACTCTTCATTCCATCTCCCAGCAACATGAAGAAAGGACACCTTAAAACAATGCTTTGTCCAGAGCAAACTGAACGCTGGCAGATC